TATAAGAAATAATTGACTTGTTTCCAATGAAATTAGTGTAATTGTTTTAGTTCAGATTTGTCTAGATTTTATTATTTTCAAAATTTTCAGGACTATTATTTTAGGGAGACAAATGTTTGGAACAAAAATGTTGTTTACCTATTTGATGTGTTGTGAAAAAAGTTTTGATTTGTATGGAAAATATATTGAAAGGAGTATTTGTTTATCAAATTAATCAATTTATTGTGTCAATATTTATTCTTTCATTCAGTTGATATAAATGCTAAATTTGTCAACAGGCATAATATTTAATGGGCATGTGAGTATCCTAAACCTAATAAATAAAAGGATTACAATCCACTTAAATTTGTTATCTTGCCGATAATGAAGTATCGTAGGCATATCCATGAAAAAAATTGAAAAAGAAAAGTTTTATATTAATAGGGAAGGGTCATTTTATTTTTTTTCTGAAGTTGATTAGAACATTTATTTTAGTTAATTCGAGTTTAGTTATTAATTTTGACTTATATACTTTTAACCTATCTATGTTCACTTCAAGCATGTTATAAAGAGGTTAGCAATAAAGCATATAGGCACTCGTAGTCAAATATTTATATGATTTATAACTAAGCATGTGCTTTTCTATTTTTCTTAAAATGATCACCAAATTCATGCATGCTTATGAGAGGTCTAATTGGGTTTATAATTATAAATTAGATTCGTGAGATCCTGTACATATTGATGTTGGGGATGAAGGTGACCGAGAGAATATGTCAATTCCATTTGTAGATGAGTTTGGAAATTATCCTGATCTATCAACTACTCCTCACTCTTATATGGATGACTTTTGTGTAACATATTTTACAACTGGTCCATCAATAAATTTTCGATTCATTTGTTTCCTATCTTCCCTTTGTTTTGATTTTTAATATATTTTTATAGAGAAAAGAATTAAGTCACATAATTGAATATGACTGAGTTTGTTTTAAATGTGATTGTGATTTTGTGTGATTTTTGGTTGAGATTTGATTTTGTTTTCAAATTAGTTTTGAAATTATAGAGATTTGATTAGAATTTGTTTTGATTCTTCGTCTTGGAACTCAAATTTATCTTTATAAAAAGATTAGATGTAATAGGAAATATTATATATAATAAACTGTTAATTTATGAATGTTTAAGGGTGCATTTGAAAAGACTTTTATTATATTTTTCTTATGGTTAATAGATAGAGACGGTAATAAATAATAACAACAATAATACTAATAATAATCTTACTATTTAATATAATACTTATAGACAAAAAAATAAAAATAAAAATATTTTTTTTAAAAATAAAAATAAAAAATAAAAAAAATAAAAAATAAAATAAAAAATAAAAATAAGAAAATGCTTAGAAATTAAAATAATAAAATAAAAGAAAAATATGAAAGAATTTAAAATTGAAACTATTGATTTATCATGATAATTTTCTAAAATGAACTATAAAATATATTTTTTTAACAAACATTTTTTTAAGATATGAATGATGTAAGATTTTTGTTAACATACGAAATTATATATTGTTAATATTATTTTATTTTAATTTGATTTTTATTTAATTGAGGATATTCATTAATTAAATAATAATCAGTCAAAATAATTCGTTTTTAGCATGGACATTTTTTACGTTTAAATTGGTTTTTCATTATTTTGGATAAAATAAAAATTAAATATTTTTTAAGTTATTTGTTGTTTTTATTAAATAAAATATTTAAAAAAAACCCAATTCACCTCTCTATCTTTGGGGGAAAAGAGCATTACTAAAATCGCCAGTGCTATTGGTAAACCTATCACAACTGATGAATGCACGACCAGAAAACTAAGAGCTTCGTATGCCCGAGTTTTAGTGGAAGTGGACATCACCCAAAAGACTAGGGAGAGTATAAAAATCATGAATCACAGAGGAGAAATGATGGAACAGTCTATTCAATATGAGTGGAGACCCTAATACTGTCATACTTGCTTGAAAATAAGACATGATTGTTCTGTCAAACAACAGGTGGTAAAGCAAAGACATAAGGTGTGGAAACCAGTGGCTAGTAAACCCCTGAAGCCAATCGAGGAAGAGAATATGGAGGAAGCCACTACTCTTAAGGGCCACATGGAGGAAAGGACAGAGGAGATTAATTCCCCAGGGATGAATCCCCCCTGGATTATGGTTACATCAAACAGGACAGGAGATAGAGGCAAAAGACAAGTGAAGGTTTATGCAGAGGCCAATTTAGAGCTTTTAAAGAATACGTTTACCCCGTTGAGGACTGGACCCTGTCTGATAGGGGAAGGCAACCATCAATAATGATTATTACGTGGATGTTCGAGGAATAAATAAAGAGGCAAGACATAAAGAAGTTGGGGATTATATTTCCAAGCTTGGTGTGCCTGTTATAGGATTGCTTGAAACTCGTGTGAAGCAAAATAATGCAGAGAAGATCAGAAATAAGATGGGTAACGACTGGAAGTATCATGATAATTACTCTCACCACCCCAATGGGAAGATCTGGATCTTATGGAACCCGAAGGAGGTGGAGATGAAGATTATTAGGACTGAGGACCAATTCATCCATGCTGAAGTGTATGCTCCTAATATGCAGCTCTCGTATATTGTTACAGTTATATATGCTTTCAACAATCTGGAATGCATAATTAAGCTTTGGAAGGAATTGAAGCAAATTGGGGTTTAGATGGCCCACCCCTGGATTGCCATGGGGGATTTCAATAATGTGATAACTACCAATGATAGAATTGGCGGCAATAAAGTGACTGAAAAAGAATTCAGAGACATGGTGGAGATAATGCAAGTTTTAGGGCTATATGAGGCAGATGCCATTGAATCTCACTATACCTGGACTAACAAACATTTTACAGGTACCATTTACTCCAAAATTGACCATTTACTGGGAAATGCAGCTTGGTTTCAGAAGTTCCATGAGGCTCAGGTTTATGTGTTGAATCCTCATATATCTGATCATGGTCCTATAAAAGTTGATATCCTTAAGACAAAGAAAAGGAGGACAAACATGTTTAAGTTCCTCAATAGCATTATTCAGGAACCTTCTTACCTGCAGACAGTGGCTAATAGTTGGGACTGCAACATCCAGGGAACTACTATGTTTAGACTATGGAGCAAGTTGATGAGACTACAGAATAATTTGAAGCCCCTGACTAGAAAACACTCTGAGGTTAACATTCAGTTGCTGAAGGCCAGGCAAGAACTTCAGGAAGCCCATGAGAGCTTGAAGCTTAATTTGTTTGATCCAGCTGCTATTGAGCTGGTTAAGTCTAAAACAGATTTGGTGATCCAGCTAAATCAGATAGAAGAAAACATCCTTATGCAGAAGGCTAAAATAGACTGGATGAGGCTGGGGGACAATAACAATGCCTACTTTCATGTTTCCATTAGGGAGAAAAACAAATAGAAGAATCTTCTTAACTTGACTGCGCGTGATGGTATCCTGCTGAGCACGCAAGAAGGGATAGAACAAGAGATCCTGGATTTTTATGGCGACCTTGTAGGTACAAAATTACCTATCTTAGTTGGAGTGGAAATTGAGGCTGTTAGAAGTGGTAAAACTCTGGCTAGAGAAGATGCCCTGAAGCTCATTACCCCTATGACTAAGGAGGAGATTAGGAAAGCCCTTAAGGGTGTTGGGAACTCTAAAGCACCGGGTTGTGATGGATACAATGCTGCATTTTTCAAATCTGTCTGAGAAATCATAGGTACTGATGTATTAGATGCAGCCAAGGAATTATTTGAAAAAGGTTATATGCTAAGAGATTTTAATTGTTCGCTTGTAACACTTATCCCCAAATATCCAGAGGCGACAACTGTTAAAGACATGCGACCTATAGCCTGTTGCAGTACCTTCTACAAGCTTATTTCAAAAATACTTGCAAATAGAATTGACACAGTCCTTAATTCTGTGATTCATGAGTGCCAATCTGCTTTCTTTCCAGGGAGGAATATACAAGACAACATTATGATGGCTCAAGAGCTGGTTAAGGGATATAGCAGGAAGAATATTTTGCCTAGATGTATGATTCAGATGGATATCCAGAAAGCATATGATACAGTGAATTGGACTGCCTTAATTCTAATTCTTAGGGAAATAGGATTTCCTCACATCTTTGTCAACTGGATAACCACTTGCATATCCACTGTATCCTACAGATTTGTTATCAATGGGAGCTGTTAAAAAATTTTGAAGGCCCAAAGAGGGATGAGACAAGGAGATCCCCTCTCCCCTATACTCTTTGTGGTTATTATGGAATATCTAAATAAAGTGCTACATGGCTTGGTGAAAAACCATAATTTTAACTTCCATCCCAAATGTAGCAAACTACAAATTACAAATCTTTGCTTTGCTGATGATATCTTATTGTTTGCTAGGGGAGATGTAGAATAAATTAAGATAATGATGCAGAAAGTGGATGCATTCACTACATCAACAGGCCTGAAGATCAGTAGTCAGAAAAGTAAAGTGTTATGTGAGGGTATGGATGAGGCCAGCATATGGATGGTTCTGCAAGAAACATGTTTTGCCAAAGGTATCCTCCCTATTAAATATCTTGGAGTCCCTCTGGACAACAAGAAACTAACTGTCTTGGATTACAAGCCTCTTATTGATAAGATGCTCACCAGGATGAATCATTGGAGTACAAAACTCCTCTCATATGCTGGTAGATTTCTGTTGGTGAAGAATGTTTTGTTTGTTATAGCCAATTACTGGATGCAGATGTTTGCATTGCCTAAAAAAATTATTCATCACATTGAAGGATTGTGTAAGAGCTTCTTATGGACAGGTAGTGACGGTAAGTCCAAAAGGGCTCATGTTTCTTGGGAACAAATCTGCAACCCAAAGAACGCAAGTGGTCTTAACATGTTATCTCTGCTGGAATGGAACCAGGCCACTGTTGGCAAATTGTTATGGAACCTTAATGGCAAAAAGGATAAACTATGGATTAAGTGGATTCACCAGGTCTATATGAAAGGCATGAGTTGCAAGGATTTCCAGCCTCCGATACATAGTTCCTGGTTTCTGAAAAACCTGTTCAAGAATAGGGACATGTTGATGAAGTTAGATAAATGTGATACTTTCAACAAGACTCTTAAATACAGTACCAAGGGAGTTTATGATATGCTGAGAGGAGACAAGACGAAAGTGAACTGGAGAAACATAATCACGGGGAACAAGGCTAGACCCAGAACGCTATTTATGGTTTGGATGGCTTGCCTTGGGAGACTCCCAACCAAAGATAGGCTGAACAGGTTCGAGGTGATCATATATGGTCTTTGTGTTTTTTGTGGAGCTCAGGAGAGTATTAGTCACTTATGTTTCGAGTGCCAAGATGCAAAGGATATGTGGAACCATTCACTTGATTGGTTGCCTGCTCAATAGAAGCCGGAGAATGGGATTTGGAGTCTGGACTGGTTCGTGCAAAGGACGAAAGGTAAATCTCTAAAATGCAAGAGGATCAAGGTAACGTTTGGTGAGGCTTTGTACAACTTATGAACGACCCGAAATTTTATTATTTTCCAAGGAAAATCCAAAGATGGTCTAAACTTAGAAGACATTAGGGATAAAATTAATATGGGTGTGGAAAAGTATAGAATGAAACGACATACTTAGGGAGAGAATTACCTTGTACATCTGAACATGTGTTTTGTTCTAGTCATTTGGTAGCCTGAATCTTTTGATCGGCTTGATCTGTAACTATTTTTTGAATTAATATATTGCTATTTTCTCAAAAAAAAAAAATTAAAAAATTATGTTTAAATTATTTTTAAAAAAAGGTTTGAAGGATGGGGCGCTCCTTCTATGTTGGATAATTTTGTCTTTATTTTATTTTATTTATTTTCTATTCATTTAATTTATTTTGTTAATAAATTTAAATTATTGATTAATAAATAAACTATAATACTTTTGAATTTGGTCTTTTGTATTCCTTTTAAAAAAATAATAAAATAATAATTAGGTTTTTTAGAATCTTTAGATCCCTAGACGTCCCTTTCTTTTTTGTAGGATTTTCTTTTGAAAAATAAAATATTGCAGAAAAATAATCTTTATGTTACTCTAAAATAAAAATAAAAAATTAATAAAATAGATTTAAGTGTTATTTTATCAAGATAATATCCATAAAATTGAGTATGATGATTTATTCAATTTGGAAGAAATTTGATATAATCTTGAATTTTTGATTTGTTAGATTTATAATTTTAAATTTTCATATTTTTTATTCATATTATTATTCATTTTTCACTTTTATGTCATATAAATGTACTATTTCTATTTAAAATATTTTGTTTACTGATAAAATTGTGATTTTTTATGTAAAACAACTATTAATATGACTACCTATTGATCATATATATTTTTAAAATATTTTGTATTCACTAGTTTATTTTAATTAATTAGACACGCCAATAGATTTCAACACAAACCTAGACTGATTAGAATAATTTAAAATTAATTAGACACTAGTTTATTTTAATTAATTAAACATGCCAATAGATTTCACACAAATCTAGAGGGACTAGAATAATTTAAAATTAATTGATACTAATTGAGTAAATATGAACAGTTAGATTTCAAATCAATAACCAAATATTACTACATGTAACTATTGTTTTTACCGAACCGTGTGTTTCGTTACTTACTAGAAAAATAGAACTGTGAAAATCAAAGTTGAACACATTTTCCTGCAATTCCATAAATACCCTTCTCTCTACGTCAGAATGTTCTTTTGTTACCTAATCAAACCAAACCAAACCTCTCTGTGACTCTTCATAATTCTAAACCCACCCAAAAAGAATACCAAACTTTCTCTCTCATTTTATTTCATCTCAGATTCTCACTTTCCGATCAGATTCCATTCCTTCCTTCCTTCGCCGGAGTTCCAATCGGTACGTTCCCTATCTTCACTTCCATCTCCTTTCTCAGATTCATCTTCTTATGTTATCGATTTGTTATCAATTTCATCACTCAGTTGTTCATTACTCAAATCACGTTTCAGTTAGGGTTTTTGGATTTTAACCTCTTCGATCTCGATTCTAACTTGATTACGTTGTTTTTATCTTCTTTTTTTGTTTTGATTTGTCGCGGTGATAATTTCGATGGTTCGAATTTGTCGTCGCGTTTTCAGCAGCTTGTTGCACTATATGCTTCCTAGAAAGAGAGCTAGTGAAGGAGTAGTGAATCTAGAAGAACAGATTAACAACAGCAATAACGCAGGTTCTGCTAAGAAGGCTCGGATCGGTTCTACAGCTGTTTGCTCGCGTGAATCTACTGTGATCGAGAGTGACCGGAGCTTTGGTAGCGGCGGCGGCAACAATAACAACGGTAACAATAACAGTAACAGCGGAGGGAATTTGACTGCGGCATCAACTATGGCTTTTGGAAATTCGAAACCTCAGGAGATTGATGAGGATCTGCATAGCCGTCAGCTTGCTGTGTATGGACGTGAGACTATGAGGAGGCTTTTTGCATCTAGTGTTCTTGTTTCGGGGATGCGAGGGCTTGGTGCTGAGATTGGTAATTGTGTCTTAAACTCACAAACTCACTTTTTTTAACTAACTTATGTTTTGATGTTTTATGGCGTGGATAGATGTAAGGATGATTCGTTTTTATCTGCTTTTCACGTTAGGTAGTGATTAATTGGAATTTGGAAGAGGGGATTATTGTTTGTTTGATGTTTATTTGAATTTATCTCGTGACATGAGTATTTTGGATTAGTATTTTAATATACTTGTAACAATAGTTTTATGATATGCCTGTGATCTTCTTATTGATAAACTCCCTGGGATAACTTATAAATAAATGTTTAGTTGACCTCCTTAGAATAGCTTACCGAACTAGTGTTTAGGGTGTGTTTAGATATACAATTTATTGATGTGATTATGCACAAGTTTTTTCTACAATCAAGATGGAATGGGGTAAACTCTTCATTAGGTGTTAGCTTATCAGATTAAGCTATATTGGGTAGCTTATGTAATAAGCTGAAAATAACTTATGAACATATTATAGGCTATTTTTATAAGTATTTCCAGAATAACCTTTCTAACACCCGCCATCCTTTATGGAGCTTTCACCTCTCCTTACATATAACAATTATTTATTGTTATGTTAATAGGTTTGACGGGTTGCTTCTATCAGCTAAAGAAAATTCACTGAAAAATAATTTATTATCTGTGCTAATAAATTTCACCAAAAAATCAATTTCCAGTTGCTCATATTCAGTGTTACAAATTTTATATCTATAACTTGGGCTATTAATTTTCATAATGTTCATGTATGTACGCTTATTACTAGAGATTATAGTGTTATTGCTGCTTTCATAAGGGCAACCTTCCCGAAGGTCCTCACTTATGCGGCATTCAATTTACTAGTTAATTATTATTCAATTTAGACTAGTTGATTAAGAGAGATTTGTGTTGAAATTTGACCATTTTTCTTCCGATATTTTTTTATTAACTGTTAACAGTTTCCCAATAAAATTTCAAATCTGCCACTTTGTAATACTTTGTATTGACATTTACTGCATGCAGCGAAGAACCTTATTCTGGCTGGTGTAAAATCTGTAACCTTGCACGATGAAGGGAATGTAGAGTTATGGGATTTGTCCAGCAATTTTGTTTTTTCAGAAAACGATATTGGTAAAAACAGGGCAGTGGCTTCTGTCAGTAAGTTACAGGAACTCAATAACGCAGTGCTTGTACTAAGCTTGACTACTCAGCTAAAAAAAGAACAGCTTTCTAATTTCCAGGTACTTCTACTTTTGCTCTCTGCTTTTTTTGGAGTCATAGTTTTTTATTTCCTAATGCATTTATCTGTATATTTTTAATATATCAAGTGATTGATTATATATGGCATTGTGGGAGTGATTTTTCTTTTTCATGCCTTAATAGTGAAATGTCCAACTTAACTCTTGATTTTACTAGAGATTCACAAGTTTACGATTCTACATTAGCTTAGTCTTAAAAGACAATTTGTTAAATATTAGCTAATATTTGATTTAAGTATTTATAGTTGCAACATCTATTGATTTTAAAAAGTATATTTACCTTCAGTGTTATTGTTAGGGACAACTATTATTCTATACGAGTCTGCGATTTTTCCACCATTTCATTTTTTTTATTTCACCATTTCTTTTTGGTCTTTGATAAGTATTTATCTATTTAAAATTAATTATGCTTTATTAAGGTGATGAAATGTTGAATCATTTTATATTTTATTTGCGTAGGCTGCACCTGTTTTCCTAGACTCTTGAGTTTGACAACCTTGTGATTTATTTACTTCTGCTAATATCTTTACCAGGGAAAGTTCTCGTGACTACAAACTAGAACACTACAAGATTGGTTGCTAATTAGGTAGAATGAGAATTGAGAATAGAATGCAATATGTTTGTTTTTTGAAAGGAAAAGAGAAGATTGCAATATGTGTAATTAATAACTTGGGAAATGCTAACCGGTGCCCTAAGGGCACTCTTTAAATGCTTAAAGTAATAAAAAAATTTAAGAATGCGTGTAATCAATGCATTGAAAATTGGAATAATTGATTTTTGTAAAGAATATTTTCTTTATTTGGTATCCTTAAAGAGTGCCCTCAGGGCACTCGTTAGCATGACCCTAATAAATTATTGAAGGAAGGATATTCATCTGTATTGAAATTTTGAAAGGAAATAGAACTTAGGTTGTTAATCTAGGATAATGGGGCGTAGCGCCGGACCCCCAAAATGCTATGGCGGTTTTGCGAAGACTAAAAAACAATATGCATAGTAAATAGAAGTTACAATGACATTATAGTAAAATTCTAACATTAAACACCTTCCTGATCGCCTGTTTACTGTATAGTAGATCAATTAAAGTAGTCATGTTTGAGGAGCAAGATGGAACTTGTCTGTTTCAGTAAAACATGTCCTCTTTTTGAAATTTTGTAACGTGTCCATTTGTTTCCTAGTTATTTGAATAAATACTAATTTGTTGTTTCACTATTTTGTAGGCAGTTGTTTTTACCGAAATCAGTCTTGAGAAAGCTGTTGAGTTCAATGATTATTGTCACAGTCATCAGCCTCCTATTGCTTTTGTTAAAAGTGAAGTTAGAGGTCTTTTTGGTGCCGTGTTTTGTGATTTTGGTCCCGAGTTTACTGTTTCTGATGTTGATGGAGAGGAACCCCATACTGGAATAATTGCATCCATCGGCAATGACAACCCTGCTCTTGTATCTTGTGTTGATGATGAGAGACTTGAGTTTCAGGATGGAGACCTTGTTGTCTTCTCGGAGGTTCATGGTATGAAAGAGTTGAATGACGGAAAGCCAAGAAAGATTAAGAATGCTAGAGCATATTCATTCACTCTTGAAGAAGACACCACAAACTATGGTGCCTATGAAAAAGGTGGTATTGTCACACAGGTCAAACAACCAAAGGTTTTGAACTTCAAACCACTAAGGGAGGCACTCACTGATCCAGGTGAGTTTCTTCTCAGTGATTTTTCCAAGTTTGACCGCCCACCTCTCCTGCATTTAGCATTCCAGGCTCTGGACAAGTTCATTTCTGAGGTAGGCCGCTTCCCTGTTGCTGGCTCGGAGGATGATGCACAAAAATTTATTTCTATTGCCAATAGTATTAATGGAAACTTAGGTGATGGAAGATTGGAAGATGTGAATCCAACACTTCTACAGCAGTTTGCCTTTGGTGCTAGGGCAGTATTGAACCCTATGGCCGCCATGTTTGGTGGCATTGTAGGACAAGAGGTTGTTAAGGCATGCTCTGGAAAATTTCATCCACTTTTTCAGGTAATTAGAATTTTAACTAAGCCTTATTTATATCCAAAGGTATTTTTAAATATTATTTGTGGTGCAAACGAAAAGAGCCCATCAGAAAGTACTTTACCATAATACTGCTCCCAAGTTTGGCAGCCGTTTGAGTTTTGTATGTTCGATTTGCTGCTTCGGTTGAGATTTTTTGACACAGCTACTGTTGAGATTTTTAGTAGATATATACATCTTATGGCCTTGGTAGAAATTATTCTTGTGCATAGCATAATTATATTTTAAACAAATACATCCTATATCTGATCTTGGATCTTATAGAAAAAAGCCTCCCCATCTTTGAGCAAAGCACTTTGTTGAAAATGATGCTTACAGTAAATGAAGTTTGGTCTAGACTATCATTCAATTGTTTAGATTTTGGACCATTTATAGTATCTGCGGTTCTCCCAAGTATTGTAGCACTGCACGTTCTTCCATCTGCGTGTTCAACAACCTGTCTAAATGTAATCCATACCTTGAGGCAATGCTACAAGTTTTCAAAACAGTATGTTTTTTTGGGTAGCTTATAAAATACTAAAGCTCTTGAGGAATGTCATGTTTTAGCTTTTCTTTCCTCCATATATTTCTCGTCGGAGTTGTATTTTGTGGTTGTTGCTTTAACTTCTGTTTCTCTTCTGACCTCTGCAGTTTTTCTACTTTGACTCGGTGGAGTCACTTCCGACAGAACCATTGCATCCTAATGATTTAAAACCAATAAATAGTCGATATGATGCACAGATATCAGTTTTTGGGCAAAAGTTACAGAAGAAATTTGAAGATGCTCAGGTGTTTGTTGTTGGATCTGGTGCACTGGGATGTGAATTTTTGAAAAATCTTGCCCTAATGGGAGTCTCTTGTGGAGGTCAGGGGAAGCTGACAGTTACTGATGATGATGTCATAGAGAAGAGTAACTTAAGTAGGCAGTTCCTCTTCCGTGATTGGAATATTGGACAGGCTAAGTCTACTGTTGCTGCTTCAGCTGCTGCGTCTATAAACCCTCGACTGAATATTGTAGCTCTACAAAATCGTGTTGGCGCTGAAACTGAAAATGTGTTTCACGATACCTTTTGGGAAAACTTGAGTGTTGTGGTTAATGCACTAGACAATGTGAATGCAAGACTATATGTAGATCAGAGATGCTTGTATTTCCAGAAACCACTTCTCGAATCTGGAACACTTGGTGCTAAATGCAATACCCAAATGGTCATTCCCCACCTAACAGAAAACTATGGGGCCTCAAGAGATCCACCTGAGAAACAAGCACCGATGTGTACTGTGCACTCATTTCCACACAACATTGACCATTGCTTGACATGGGCTCGATCAGAGTTTGAGGGATTGCTAGAGAAAACTCCAGCTGAAGTTAATGCATATTTATCAAACCCAAATGAATATACTAATTCAATGAGGAATGCTGGTGATGCTCAGGCTAGGGATAACTTGGAGCGTGTACTTGAATGCTTGGATAAGGAGAAGTGTGAGACTTTAGAAGATTGTATTACCTGGGCTAGGCTCAAGTATGTTTGACTATATATGCTTTATTTATGATATCTCATGTCCTTGCAGATTAGTTTTTTGTTTACGTCCTGCACTCAAACATTGTTTTTTATTCACAGGTTTGAAGACTATTTTGCTAACCGAGTGAAGCAATTAGCTTATACTTTTCCCGAAGATGCTGCAACCAGTACTGGAGCTCCTTTTTGGTCTGCACCAAAACGATTCCCTCGTCCACTGCAGTTCTCCTCCTCTGATCAGAGTCATCTCCAGTTTTTGATGGCAGCTTCTATACTACGAGCAGAAACATTTGGTATCCCTATCCCTGACTGGGTGAATAACCCTACAAAGTTGGCTGAATTTGTTGATAGAATGATAGTACCCGACTTTCAGCCCAGGAAGGATGCGAAAATTGTGACAGACGAGAAGGCCACTAGTCTCTCTACTGCTTCTGTGGATGATGCAGCTGTTATTGATGATCTGATCGTCAAGTTAGAGAGATGCCGGTCAAATCTGCAACCAGAGTTCAGGATGAAGCCGATCCAGTTTGAGAAGGTATATTTTTTGCTTTTGTTCCGACAGAATTTTCACCGTGTTATCCAGTAAACTCCTTTCTTTTTTTCTTAAATTGTACTCCCTCCGGTCATTTTTATAAGAAACACTTCACCTTTCTAGATTTATTGAATAATTAATGTACATGGTCTATAAAAAGGTGAAATGTTTCTTATAAAAAAGATTGGAGGGAGTATTTGATTTAATGGGGTTTCAATTGGGAATTTCGGAAGTTTCTATGTGCTTAAAATAGGATCTGGGTTCACAATACATCAACTTTTGTGCTGGTGGTTTTTTTATTTTCATCCAAGCTGAGAAATTGTTTTTCTACTAAAAATCTGCAGGATGATGATACAAACTACCACATGGATGTGATAGCTGGGCTTGCCAACATGAGGGCACGGAATTACAGCATTCCCGAAGTTGACAAGCTCAAGGCCAAGTTTATCGCAGGGCGGATCATTCCAGCAATTGCAACCTCAACTGCTATGGCCACTGGCCTTGTTTGCTTGGAGTTGTACAAAGCTTTGGATGGAGGGCACAAACTCGAGGACTACCGAAACACTTTTGCCAATTTAGCCCTGCCTCTCTTTTCCATTGCTGAGCCAGTTCCAGCAAAGGTCATCAAGCATCAAGATTTGAGTTGGACGGTTTGGGACAGATGGATTATAAAAAACAATCCTACTCTCAGGGAGCTTCTTGACTGGCTGAAGGAAAAAGGTCTGAATGCTTATAGTATTTCTTGTGGGAGTTGTCTGCTTTATAATAGCATGTTTCCTAGGCACAAAGAGCGAATGGACAAAAAAGTTGTGGATTTAGCAAGGGATGTAGCCAAGATGGAAATCCCTTCATACCGTCGTCACATAGATGTTGTTGTGGCCTGCGAGGATGACGATGATAACGATATTGATATCCCTCAAGTATCCATTTATTTCCGCTGAGTCATTTTCATCAAAATTGGTTGTCTTAAATTTATCTTTAGTTAGAAAGACAGAATGTTCGACTTTACTGTTCTATTTCTGTAGTGCCTTCAGGCAAGGTGTCGTTGACCATCCCACACTTCATATATGAATTGAAAAGCAACTTTCATTTATGTTGTAACATTTATTTGCTTGACTAATTTTGTAAGTTGATCCTTGTTTGTTGAGATTGTGATGGTATGTCATCGTCGCGTCACTTCTGGTTATATTTATCAGCTACTACTTTAAGTTATGGAACGTGTTTAATTGAATTGCAATTGCTCTTGGTTGCATCCGTAGTTTTAGGGTTACTTTTAGGAACCCGTAGTTTATACTTTGGTTGCGTTGGTAGTTTTATTGAATTGGTGAGTAGTTATTCAATTTTGTTCTATTAATTTTTTTGTTTAATTGTTTAATTGCTATTGTCCGTGTCAAGTAGAAAATGAGTCCTCCTTGGTTGGACCTCATTTGTCAGTGTCAAGTAGAAAATGAGTCCTCCATGGTTGGACCTCATTTACCTTTACGTTTTGTCGTGTATTTTTCTCTTCTAAAATTTTGGTAGATAGAGCTTTTTTTTAGCCAAACAAAGGCAATTTCTTTTCTTACCCTTCTTACAATATTTAGATGTACTTATCTTTTGTAAATGTGAGTCATCCTATTAACTATGCATCTCCGGATGAATAGTGTTTTAAAGAAAAATGATGTTTTGGAATATGTATATTTGTAAAGTGTCTGTTGTATTTTGTTTTTAAAATTTAATAGAGTGTATTTGGGTGATGTTTTTTTTTTAATTTAATAATTAGATAATAAAAAACGATTAAAAAAGAAAAAAAGGAATTGTTTTGCATTTTGTTGAGACTTTGATTCTTAATTTTTGATGAAATGACACGGTAAAATTTCGATTAAGAGTTGATTTTTTAAAAAATTGAGTTTTTTACATTATATTACATAAACGTTAGAAACACAAAAACGCAAGAGTCAGAACGCGAGGATACGATTTCTATGACTTTAATATTGATTAAAATCAACAGAGAGTCCCGACAACAACGTCAATAAATGAGGTTAGAAGTGTTTTCGGAGATGCATCTTTAAATTTACTTTGAAATTTTTTGAAGATGCATCTCCGAATCAATTTTAAACAAAAACAGAATAAAATATATTCGGAAATATATCTCTAAAAATTTCTGAAGGCAAATTTGAATTTTTAGAGGAAATTCACACCATAAGAGTGGTAAAAGAAATCACCTTCTTTTAGTTTCATCTCAATTAAGATTTAGGTTCAAATAAAACTAGAACTTCCTAAACCCAATACTTATTTTTGGGCACTATTCCCCATTTTCTCACACCCTATAAAAATTTGAAAATATTTTTCGTAACCTATGAAATTGGAATTCAAACACATTAATTTTACAAAAATTCACTTTATTAAACACTATTTTTTTCAATTTTTTTTTTTGAATTTCAATCTTCAGAGATATATTATTAAATTTTTTGCATTGGTTTAATATATATATTTAATAATAAGATGGTTCAGATGAAATATCAGGAGATAAAATATTTATTTTGGTCCCTTAACTATATCATTGGATTCACATTGACTCCTTAACTTTTTTTCGTGTCATTTTAGTCTCTTAATTTTTAAAAAGGTTCATTTTAGTCCTTTTTGTCTAATTAACGATGATTTTTTTTTTTTGAAATTCATCGCTAAATTCGCCGCTAATTAGATAAAAAGAACTAAAATAAAACTTTTTGAAAGTTAAAGAACCAAAATGAGACGAAAAAAAGTTAAGGGATCAATGTAAATTCAAGATATAGTTAAGAAACCAAAATGAGTATTTTGTCAATATTAAGATTTATTTTATAAGAATGAGGTGAATTTGCATTTCAAAGTGTTTATTTCATAATATTGAGATGAATCGGCATTTTAAAATTTGAACAAATCTCAAGACAATATTTGCACTCCTTGACAAGAATTTTGAAGAAAATTTTCAATATTAATAAACTATACACTATAAATCATTTATAAAGTATATCCAAACTAATTCACACACATTAATCATTTATTAATAAAAGATTAAATTGTCAAACAAAATATTGATAAATCATATATTAAGGTTCATAAAATACAACAAATCATACAAATTTTTAATAGTTGATATTAAAATACAAACTAAAATACAACTAATGATATATCTAATATCCAAGTTCTTCTTATGTCTCCTATATTGCAAAGCATGTTGTGGGTTTACTTAAATTGTTTGTAGTGGCAATATGAGACATGCCTTCTTGAAACTCTCCTCTAGCTATGGTTTCTTTTTTAATAGCAATAATACAGTGACATATAAAAATACATCCACGACATGGTCCACCATTGTCTGTTCATTTTTTAGTAACTCTTGATGAGCTGGTCTAGGGAGATCTTTTTCTACATTGGGGTGTCATGTAAGGATGTGACACTATATATAAAATCATTGAATGTAACTATATATCCTACTTCTTGGACGAATAGTTGACACATTACACACTTTCTTTGATACAAGATGCTCATCATAGTCTGCACATGTGCTATCATCTTTACAGAGGATAGTGGCAAGAGCAACATCAGTTGGGTTTCTAGATATACTATTGTAGTATTCACTCAAGTAGATATGAATATATAAGTTGAGACTCACAAGAAAATGATTCAGAGTACCAGGATATCATCACCTCCAAGGGTCGTGTTTGATGGTGCTCACCGTACAATGTGAAATAGAAGTCATCCCACATGATGCAATTAAGAGTAGTTTAGAATGGCTCAGTTGTCTGATTCCTTTTGAGTGGGAAAATGGAACGGACACATGGAAATTTCTGAGAGTACTCTTCAACATATTCCCAGTCGGAGATAAGTGAAAAATGATAGTGGATTCATATTTGTAAATGATTCAGATGAAATATCAGTAACAATGTAACACATGTATTATGAAATTAATAGTAGTAAGGGTGAAAAATCACCATAAATAGACAATTGTTTTCAGACAACTGTCTCGTATTTCATTGATTACCTTCAGTTAACTTGGAGTAGAGATACATCAAACTAGATGCCTCCTAGTTGTATTCGTGAACCCTCTCCAAGTCAATGAAATGTTTAATGTAGACAATACTGACATAAGTCACACTTTTGTCCATAAATATGGCCGTGCCAACAAAAACCATGAAGTATGATCTTAATGCACATGCTCTATGATATGAAATTCATGCATCATCACCCACAACATTTAAAACTGCAATCAGGTTGTCAACATAACTTTCCACAAGGAAAGAAAATATGACATGACATCCTCTAGTGTCATTTATCTTCTATTAGGCGTCACCCAAATCAACTCTTAAACATGTCATCATCAGGTCTAGTTCCTCAAATTTACTGATTATGGAGTGATCTAATAATCTTCTTGTGATCAAAAGATGTAGATGGTATGATACATCATCAATTATGATGATCATATCACCGATCGAAAGATGAAATGATGACGTCTCTGAATTCCGTCTCTCAACAAACACACACAATTAACCATGGTTAATATAACAATATTCATTCTTGCAGAAATCCTTTCGCCCGGATAGCTGCAAGACATCCCAAAATCATGGTTCGTCGGGTTGTGACAAATTTTCTATCTTTGCCATGATTGATACATTTCAACATCTTACGATACTACAAAAGTTAATACACTATTGTCATACACTTTAATTATTATAACATAGATGTTTAATACACACAATTTAATTATTTATGTTACCTCTTCCTCTCACATGTCCTAGAAATATGATGTGTATATAAAGGCAGTAGTGAAAGGTTCAAGGGGTTTCTCAGCAAACTATACGACACAACAACATTAGGTTCAACAATAGCTACAATAACATGTATTTTAGAAACAAGGGATTTCTAATGATTCAGATATACATAACCCCTGGAAGAGGATCCCTCAGCAGGAAATGTTGATTCTCCAACTGCACGCCGCAAAGGTCTAGATTTTTCTCTACACACTGAAGCACAATGGACCACTATACCATGTCTCAATATTTTTTAGTTATTGGACATTTGTCATATAATCAGAAAAGGAAATTATATCGCGATCAAAGAAGAGGAACAAATTTATTACCAAACCAACTTTCAAAACAAAGCCCAAAATAGTGAAATCCAGATTTTGTCATCCGAACTAAGGGTTAGGATTTCAAAATTTTAAAAGCGCGAACCCAAAATAGAATAAAAAATAGAGTATGCATTACGAACCCTAACCTCAAAAGTTCAAATTTTCAAACAATATCTGATTAGGATAAAACAAATACAACAACTTTATTGCATGTATCCTAAGGTAGCATAACTATAACCTAGTTAGGAAATGCATGCATCACAGATGAAAAAAATTAAGGAAGTGAGAAATTTATCAAATGTGAGAGATGGATGATCTTGGTTCGAATATAGTGGATTAGAACTTGAAAATGTGTTAAGTTTTAATGTAGTCAAGTAGAAGTTGTGATCAAGAATGAAAAATGTTGGTGCAAGAGTAAGCAATGGTGAGCTCTGTTTTCACTTGGTTTCAAATTTGATGAGAAGAAAGAGGGAAAGGTTTGTGCATAAATACTTAAATGAAAGTGCTCGTTTATTAAAATCCGGACAAACCTTTTAAACTTTTTCATAGTTATGAGTTTGGGTTTTGGTGTGGTATGCTAAGGCACGTTAGAATTTCAATATCCGTAAGTTATTTTTAACTGGTGCAATTTAGAGAGAGTTTCTTGTGTAATTGGTGTGTACGATGTTAGGATATCAGACTCTAAGGTTATTTTTGAATTTTCACTAGGGCATGTGAAGATGACATGAGGTGTAATGAATAATGCCCTTATTTTTTAGGAAATGAGTTTTTTTGGATAATATGAGGGGTTCCATCTCTTTTATCCTAGGGGTGAAAACAATACTGTAATTTTTGAAACACAATCTAAAAGGATTC